GAGACCTTCCTGGCCCAGGGATGGAACCCGGGTCTCCTGAATCGCAGGCAGACTCTTGACCTTGTGAGCCACCGGGGAAGCTCTGTCAGAAACGTTCACCAAGTCCTCTCGCTTCCATCCGCAGGGCTTCAGGCACAGGGCCTTTTGAGTTCTCCGTCAGCAGGGCAAGAGAACACGGGACATGTCTCCCCCCAGATATCGGAGGCCACTCGGAAAACTTCAGGATCCAGCCCCCCTTTCGGGTGAAGAGCCACACGCAAAGGAACAAACACACGTAGCACAGGACTCTCCTATCCAGCAGTGTGTATCCCCGCTTCACGGAAACATCCTGCGGGCCCGTAAGGAACGTGTGGAAAAAACACTCTACCACCAAGGAGATAAGAACCCTCGCTGAGAGTTTCTGAAGTCTGGAAGGACCAGGTAGAGGGAAAAACAGAAACGATTCCATTCTGCTGATAGGGGTAGTGTTATGAAGTGACCAAAGTGGATGATGTCCCTCTTTCAAAATTCACATTATAAAACATTGTGTCCTTTCGATCCTCTGTTTTTGCTTTGTCTGTGGAAAGCAACAGATTGAACGGTAGGTCCTTTTCTTATTTATTTTATTTTGATTTATTACTTTTTTTTCCCTGCCCGCCCGCCCGCCCGCCCGCCCGCCCGCCCATCCATCCCTCCTTCTTCTCCCTGTCTCTCTCGCTTTTCATTCAGGTTAGGGAATTAAAAAAACAGGACAAAACAAAACAAAACAAACAAACAAGCAAGCAAACAAACAAACAAACAAACAAAAAACCCCAGTATTTCTGCAGGTCAGGAAGCAAACAGTTAGAAATAGACATGGAACACAACAGACTGGCTCCAAATAGGGAAAGGAGCCCATCAAGGCTGTATATGTTGTCACCCTGCTTATCCAGCTTACATGCTGAGTACACATCATGCGAAACGCTGGGTCGGATGAAGCACAAGCTGGAATCCAGGATGCCGGGGTCCAGCCTCGGCAGAATCCAGGGGGTACCCTCAGGATGAACAGCGTCGGCGAGAGAGAGAGAAGACACGTGAGACCAGCCTTGATAGGGCCAAATCGGTGTTTTACTTTTTGACAACCCGTTTTATTCCCTTTCACAGATCGTTTTCAAGGTACAAGATGCTTACTCATGATTACACAGGGTTAGCATGACATCATTTCGATTTTTAGGAAGAGCAGGATTTTTTTTGCTTTCTAATTCTATAGTAATTTTTAGCACATGATCTTCTGGCCTTGAGGCTATTAACATTTCATGCAGGTCAGGTGATTGTAAACCTATTTTCCGTTTTTATGGTGACTTTAACTGAAAGGTAACAGGGTCACATAGGGAAATAGTACAGAGTAGAATCATATTCTTGTTAATACAAAAATTAATCTTTCTGCAAAAGTTGTCAGTTGCATTTATCTAAGAAGTTTACCCCATACAGACTCTGCGGCTTCAGTGAGGCAGCTTCTGCCTAGCACTCCTGACTGACAATTAACAACCATCTCATTGTTACCACACTAGGGCTAAGTTCTTATTTCTCTAGATCTTTAACTATATTAACAGTGGTTTTTATAACACAACCTTAGCACATTAAAGGCAAAAATACAGCAAGCAAAACACAGCAAACAAATCACAACCCAATAACCACCTATAGGATAATTTTCTTATGTTTTCTAATAGGACTCCTTTACCCCTTAAAAGAGCTCTATATCTATTGGGGCTTTTATATAATCAGGTTCTTTATGCTATTTCATGATCAGGATATTATAAGCAATCATGCATATTAGTACCAAGCGCATAAATGCATTTGGCTAACAAAGTACCAAGCAAAGCAGTTTGAATTAAAACACTCCTTTCACCCTAAACAATCTCATAAAATGCCACCACCTGGGAAACTTATTGATTACAGTTCTAAATGGATTCTTATTTGGGAAGAGACTGGGGAAGGCCTTCCTGCCTGTGTCAGAGTCCATTGAGGCAGGCATCAGAAAGACAGATATCATCTTTAAGGTGGGAGCCGGGGGCAGCTTTTCGAAATCCCTGAACACCTGATCTGCCTTGCCTGCCAGGCTTTCTCCTCGTGACCTTGTCATGGGTGGGATCTCGTGAGCTGGCCTTTTCGAAAACCCCTGAAAACCTGATTCGCCTTGCCTGTCAGGTTTTCTCCCCTGTGGCCTTTTTAGGGGCAGGGTAGGGTCTCGTGTGTTGGCTCCTGGCACCCGGAGAAATACCAATCCCCTCAGATATGCAAATGACACCACCCTCATGGCAGAAATGAAGTATCGAGTGGGTTTACAAAGTCGTGTTCGTTTCAGGTTTTCAGATTCTTTTCCCTGAGAGGTTAATGCAAAGTCATAAGCCTACTCTCCTGGGCTGCATAGTGGGTGCTTGTTTTTTGTTTTTGTTTTGTTTTTTTTTACTACCTGCACTGTAAGCACTTTGATGGTGCTTGTTGACTGTCTTGATGTACCGTTTATATGTGTGCACGTGTTAACCGGACCTCCTAAGTTGACAGTCCTGCCCCTCTTCCCCCCCACAGGTCAGACTGTAGAAATCTTCATGTCAAGGGTGTATTAACAACAGGCATGCTCATCTTAAAGGCACTCCTGTCCTGTGAAGGTGGAGGGAGGGGCGGGAGGGGTAGAGGGACGATGAGGAAGGGAAGGAGAAAGCGAGGAACACGAACACGAACACACACAGTGTGTGTGTGTTTGTGTGTGTGTGGCACGCGCAGGCGTTGCTTGTGTGGTGTGTGGGGGAGAGTGTGTTGTATTGTGTGTGCTGTGTGGGGGCGTAGTGTGTGTGGGTATGGGTGGGGTCTGTGGGGTGTGCCTCCGGGTGGTGCGAGTGTGAGAGGGGGCGGGCAGAGAGACACAGCCAGGCAAAGAACAACACAGAGTGTGTGCATGGGTGTGTGTCTCGCTGTGTCTCTCTGCCCGCCCCCTCTCACACTCGCACCACCCGGAGGCACACCCCACAGACCCCACGCATACCCACACACCCCGCGCTCCCCGCACCCACACTCACCCCGCACTTCCCGCCCCCACACCCTCCCACCACAATCCCCCCCCCCACCCACACACCCACACACCCACACACACCCACGCCCCATACCACACACGCAAAGGACAACAGAGTGTGTGGGGGAGGGCGGGGAGTGTGTTGTGGGGGGAGCAGGGTGTGTGGGGATGCGTGTGATGTGTGCCTCAGGGTGGTGCGAGTGTGAGAGAGGGCAGGCAGAGAGACACAGCCAGGCAGAGGACAACACAGCGTGTGTGTGTGTGTGGCTGTGTGTATCTGCCCACCGCACCTCACACCCACACCAGCGACAGGAACACCCCACACACGCCACGCACACCCCCACACACCGCCCCCGCAGGCCCACCCCCGCACAGAAAGGACAACACAGTCAGAGTGAGTGAGTGAGTGAGTGAGTGAGTGAGTGGGTGGGTGGGTGATGTGAGGCTGGTGTGTGTGGGAGCAGGGTGTGTGTGTGTGGTGTGTGCGGGTACGCGTGTGGTGTCTGTGGGTATACGTGGGGTGTGTCTGCGGCGTGCACAGGTGTGTTGCGTGTGTGGGGGCGTGTGCGGGGGCACGTGGTGTGTGTGTGTGCTGGGTACGGGTGCCACGTGGGGCCGTGTGTGTGTGCAGCGTGGGTGTGTGGGGTGCGCCTGTGGGTGCAGGCGGGCAGAGACATGGCACGCAGACTCTAGACCTTGTGAGCCACCGGGGAAGCTCTGTCAGAAACGTTCACCAAGTCCTCTCGCTTCCATCCGCAGGGCTTCAGGCACAGGGCCTTTTGAGTTCTCCGTCAGCAGGGCAAGAGAACACGGGACATGTCTCCCCCCAGATATCGGAGGCCACTCGGAAAACTTCAGGATCCAGCCCCCCTTTCGGGTGAAGAGCCACACGCAAAGGAACAAACACACGTAGCACAGGACTCTCCTATCCAGCAGTGTGTATCCCCGCTTCACGGAAACATCCTGCGGGCCCGTAAGGAACGTGTGGAAAAAACACTCTACCACCAAGGAGATAAGAACCCTCGCTGAGAGTTTCTGAAGTCTGGAAGGACCAGGTAGAGGGAAAAACAGAAACGATTCCATTCTGCTGATAGGGGTTTAGCGTATGAAGTGACCAAAGTGGATGATGTCCCTCTTTCAAAATTCATTGTAAAACACTGTGTCCTTTCGGTCCTCTGTTTTTGCTTTGTCTGTGGAAGGCAAAACAGATTGAACGGTAGGTCCTTTTCTTATTTTGATTTATTTATTCACTTTGCCCGCCCGCCCGCTCACTCTCTCTCTCTCTCTCTCTCTCTCTCTCTCTCTCTCTCTCTCTCTCTCTCTCTCTCTCTCTCTCTCTCTCTCTCTCTCTCTCTCGCTATTTCACTCAGGTTAGGGAATTAAAAAACGAAACAAAGCAAAACACAAACAAACAAAAAAACCCCGGTGTTTCTGCAGGTCAGAAGTAGACATGGAACACAACAGACTGGGTCCAAATAGGGAAAGGAGGCCATCAAGGCTGTATATGTTGTCACCTTGCTTATCCAGCTTACATGCTGTGTACACACCATGCGAAACGCTGGGTCGGATGAAGCACAAGCTGGAACCCAGGTTGCCCGGAGAAATACCTATCCCCTCACATATGCAAATGAATCACCCTCATGGCAGAAATGAAGTATCGAGTGGGTTTACAAAGTCGTGTTCGTTTCAGGTTTTCAGATTCTTTTCCCTGAGAGGTTAATGCAAAGTCATAAGCCTACTCTCCTGGGCTGCATAGTGGGTGCTTGTTTTTTGTTTTTGTTTTGTTTTTTTTTTTACTACCTGCACTGTAAGCACTTTGATGGTGCTTGTTGATTGTCTTAATGTACCGTTTATATGTGTGCACGTGTTATAACCAGACCTCCTAAGTTGACAGTCCTGCCCCTCTTCCCCCCCACAGGTCAGACTGTAGAAATCTTCATGTCAAGAGTGTATTAACAACAGGCAGACTCATCTAAAGGCACTGCTGTCCTGTGAAGGTTGAGGGAGGGGAGGGGAGGGGAGGGGAGGGGAGGGGAGGGGAGGGGCAGAGGGACGATGAGGAAGGGAAGGAGAAAGCAAACGAGGAACAGGGACACACACACACAGTGGGTGTGGTGTGATGTGGCGTGTGGCGCGGCGCGTCTGGGGCAGTGTGTTGTGCTGTGTATGTGCGTGTGTGCCTCACGGTGGTGCGAGTGAGACGGGGCGGGCAGAGACACACAGCCACACAGCCACACACTCTGTGTCGTCCTTTGCCTGGATGTGTCTCTGCATAGCCACACATCCCCCCACCTACCACGAGCAACACAGAGTATGTGTGTGGGGGGGGGGTATGCCTGTGGTGTGTGCCTGAGGGTGCGAGCGTGAGAAGGGGGGGGCAGAGACACACCCAGGGCAAAGGACAACCCAGTCAGAGGGTGTGTGGGGGTGGGTGTGTGTACCTGCCTGCGCCCCCTCCCACCCGCACCAGTGACAGGCACACCCCAGACACCCCACGCATATCTCCCACACACCACACACTCTGCCCCTGCCGCACAGAAAGAACAGCACAGAGGGAGGGTGGGTGGGTGGGTGGTATGCGACGTGGGTGGTGTGGGGGCAGGGTGTGTGTGGTGTGTGCGGGAACGCGTGGGGTGTGTCTGTGGCGTGCACCGGTGTGTTTTGCTTGTGTGGTGTGCAGGGGCGTGTGGTGTGTGTGTGTGCACGGGTGCCGCGTGTGTGTGCAGCGTGGGTGTGGGGGGTGCGGGCGGGCAGAGACACACAGGCAAAGGACAACACAGTCAGAGAGAGAGAGAGTGTGTGTGTGTGTGGGGGGGGTGCCTTTAGGTGGCGCGGTGAGAGGCAGAGACACCGACTCAGGCCAAAAACAACCAACACGCATGGACATCCTACTGAACACTTGGCTGGGCTTCTGTTTTTCTGAGCTCATCGGCTCCATTGACCAAGACCACTCCCATATGACGTGAATCTGCCACCCTCCCCTCAGACACCATCCAGCCCCTTGTCTTTGGCAGGCAGACCGGAGAGTGTTCCGAGTTGGCGGGGGGTTGGGTGTCACCAGGCGAGCTTCGATCCTTGGCGTTCTGGCCCCGAACCTGACCGGAGTGAGTGGATCCGCGTGATCTCTCGTGTCTTTGTTTGAAACTCTTGGCGGGAGAAGGGAGATTCCCCCCTGCCAAGTGACAAGGCCAAAAAGGAGGAAAAGCCCATTCCACTTGAGTTCAAACACCTGCTCTCCCAATCAAGCAAGTTTCGAAAGTGAGACTTCCAATCCAAACCACAAAGCCGAACTGGCTAGCCACCCACCCTCCCCGTGACCTCTGGCCCAAGGTGCCTCCCCCCCCCCCCCCCCCCGCCCCGACACAGCCTCCTTCCACAGCCCGAGGGCATTCACAAGAGTTGGCCGGCCCGCCCTGCTCCCTCCGTGGCGGCCCCCCCCCCCCCCCCCGCCGGGCCATCTAAAAAAGCGACCGACAGGCAGCTGGCGCCCAACCGCCAACCCGCTGTCCAGAGAGCCGACCGCAGCACGGGAGCTCTGGGGGCGACCGGCGGGGACTCGTTGCCAGACAGGGTCCGTCCTAGTGCGCGTTTCTACACTCAGTCACCGACGCGGACAGGAGAACGGGACGCGACGACACTTCTCCAGAACGTCCCTGGGCGAGGTACGACGACCGGACGGGCGGGAGGAGAGCGGAGGGGAGGGAGAAGGATTCTGAACTCCCCACCCACGGGGCAGCGGAATGCACTCCCATCCGAGGGGGACCGCAGGTCAACGTTAGGCGGCGCGAACACAGGCGCCGAGAAATACCTCTCCCTCACCCCCGTCCCTGTCACCACTTTTCAGCATACCAGGAGAAACCCCTTTTGTGACCCCGACGACGGCACTTTTGGGAAAAGCAACGTACAGCAACAGGACAAATAAAGGACCCACCCACCAAGCCACCAAGCCACCAAGCCACCAACCCACACTTCATGTTGCAGGCCAACCAAGAGAGGCCCGGCCAGCTGGTCGACCCGCCGCTCCCTCGGCCCGGAGCCCAAATGGGCTCCAGCTGGCCGGCCGGCCGGCCAGCAGCTCGAGCACACAGCACACACCACACCGCACACACCACACCACACACACCCACACCCACACCCCTCACACACACACACACACACACACACACACACCCCCCGCCCCCCACACACACACCCCCACACACACACCCCCACACACACACCCCCCACCCACACACACCCCCCACACACACCCCCCACACACACCCCCCTTCATGTTGAAAGTACCTCTCCGTATTGTGGCAGTGAAACGAAAAGCAAAGGCAGAGAGCCACCACCCACCCACATACATAACCGCCATGAAGAAACTGAACGCATCTTAAGAAGAAAACGTAAACGCCAGAGGACGGGTCATACTGGCGACTCGGCCCGCCCAGGCGAACTCGACCTCGGCACGCAAGTCCTTCCCACAGCCCACTCAATGCAGGCCAAGCAAGAAAGGCCCAGCCAGCTGGTCGACCCGCCGCTCCCTCGGCCCGGAGCCCAAGTGGGCTCCAGCTGGCCGGCCGGCCGGCCGGCCGGCCGGCCAGCGGCTCGAGCACACAGCACACACCACACCACACACACCCACACACCTCACACACACACACACACACACCCACAACCCCCCCACACACACCCCCACACACACCCCCCCACACACACACACCCCCACACACACACCACCCCCCCACACACACACCACCCCCCCCTTCATGTTGAAAGTACCCCTCCGTACTGTGGCAGTGACACGAACAGCAAAGGCAGACACCCATCACCCCCCCTCCCCCCAGTAACCGCCATGAAAAATCTCAACGCATCTTAGAGAGAAAACGGAAATGCCACAGAGCGCATCGTACTGGCGACTCGGCCCGCTGAGGCCAGTTCGACCTCCAGACACATGTCCCTCAGCCCACTCGATGGAGGCCAAGCAAGGAAGGCCCGGCCCGCTGGTCGACCCGCCGCTCCCTCGGCCCGGAGCCCAAGTGGGCTCCAGCCGGCCGGCGGGTCAAGCACACAGCACACACAGCAGGCAGGCAGGCAGGCTGACAGACAGACAGACAGACAGACAGACAGACCGACCGACACACACACACACACACACACACACACACACACACACACACAGACAGACCCCCCACACACACACACACCCCCCTTCATGTTGAAAGCACCCCTCCGTATTGTGGCAGTGACAGGAACAGCAAAGGCAGACACCCATCACCCCCCTCCCAATAACCGCCATGAAAAATCTCAACGCATCTTAGAGAGAAAACGGAAATGCCACAGAGCGCATCGTACTGGCGACTCGGCCCGCTGAGGCCATTTCGACCTCCAGACACATGTCCCTCAGCCCACTCGATGGAGGCCAAGCAAGGAAGGCCCGGCCCGCTGGTCGACCCGCCGCTCCCTCGGCCCGGAGCCCAAGTGGGCTCCAGCCGGCCGGCGGGTCAAGCACACAGCACACACAGCAGGCAGGCAGGCAGGCAGGCAGGCAGGCAGGCAGGCAGGCAGGCAGGCAGACAGACACACACACACACGCACGCACGCACGCACGCACGCACGCACGCACGCACACACACACACCCCCTTCATGTTGAAAGTACCCCTCCGTATTGTGGCAGTGACACGAACAGCAAAGGCAGAGAGCCATCACCCACCCACCCACCCACCCACCCACCCACCCACCCACCCACCCACCCACCCACACACACCCACACACACACACACACACACACACATACATACATACATACATAACCACCAGGAAGAAACTGAACGCATCTTAAGAAGAAAACGTAAACGCCAGAGAACGGGTCATACTGGCGACTCGGCCCGCCCAGGCGAACTCGATCTCGTTACGCAAGTCCTTCCCACAGCCCACTCAATGTAGGCCAAGCAAGAAAGGCCCGGCCAGCTGGTCGACCCGCCGCTCCCTCGGCCCGGAGCCCAAGTGGGCTCCAGCCGGCCGGCGGGTCAAGCACACAGCACACACAGCAGGCAGGCAGGCAGGCAGGCAGGCAGGCAGGCAGGCAGGCAGGCAGGCAGACACACACACGCACGCACGCACGCACGCACGCACACACACACACCCCCTTCATGTTGAAAGTACCCCTCCGTATTGTGGCAGTGACACGAACAGCAAAGGCAGAGAGCCATCACCCACCCACCCACCCACCCACCCACCCACCCACACACACACACACACACACATACATACACACATAACCACCAGGAAGAAACTGAACGCATCTTAAGAAGAAAACGTAAACGCCAGAGAACGGGTCATACTGGCGACTCGGCCCGCCCAGGCGAACTCGATCTCCTTACGCAAGTCCTTCCCACAGCCCACTCAATGTAGGCCAAGCAAGAAAGGCCCGGCCAGCTGGTCGACCCGCCGCTCCCTCGGCCCGGAGCCCAAGTGCGCTCCAACTGGCCGGCCAGCCGGCCGGCCGGCCAGCGGCTCGAGCACACAGCACACATCACACCACACCACACCACACCACACACACACACACACACACACACACACACACACACACACACACACACACACACACACACACACACCACACCCCACACACACCCCACCACCCCCACCCACACACCCCCCACACACACACCCCACACACACACCCCCCCACACACACACCCCTTCATGTTGAAAGTACCGCTCCGTATTGTGATTGTGGCAGTGACACGAACAGCAAAGGCAGACACCCATCACCCCCCCCTCCCCCCAGCAACCGCCATGAAAAATCTCAACGCATCTTAGAGAGAAAACGGAAATGCCACAGAGCGCATCGTACTGGCGACTCGGCCCGCTGAGGCCAGTTCGACCTCCAGACACACGTCCCTCAGGCCACTCGATGGAGGCCAAGCAAGGAAGGCCCGGCCCGCTGGTCGACCCGCCGCTCCCTCGGCCCGCAGTCCAAGTGGTCTGCAGCCGGCCGGCGGGTCGAGCACACAGCACACACAGCAGGCAGACAGACAGACGGACAGACCCACACACACACACACCTTCATGTTGAAAGTACCTCTCCGTATTGTGGCAGTGACACGAACAGCAAAGGCAGAGAGCCATCACCCACCCACCCACCCACATACATAACCGCCACGAAGAAACTGAACGCATCTTAAGAGGAAAACGTAAACGCCAGAGAACGGGTCATACTGGCGACTCGGCACGCCCAGGCGAACTCGACCTCGTCATGCAAGTCCTTCCAACAGCCCACTTGATGCAAACCA